CCGAAGCACGCCGGGAGTCGTGTTTTTCCCAGCAGGCATGCTGGGACGGGGAGTTTTTCCGCTCTGCTTCCCGGCTGCCATGGCCTCGTCTTTTGAGGAAGGATCCGTCCGGCGCCGATGATGTGCGGACGGTGAGTGCTGAAGCTCCATGACTGGTTCTGGAAAGCGGAGCCCCACTTGCCCCTCGCTGCCGCCCCACGACCTCTGCCTGCTCCTACCTTCCTCGTCCTCATCCACCCGTAACCCCTGCGATGGGGGAGGTACTGCCAGTGAGACTTGGGGCAAGGCTTTTGGGGTTTTCCTCCGGGTAGGGGTGGTGGGGGGCAGAGGCGTGTGAAACGTGGCTGCGGAGGCACGGCCTTGAGCTGTTCCTGGTAACAGCGTGCGTTGAAATACTCGCTCTTTGCACGTACCTGCGTATTCTTACACATCTGAATTCAGTTGCGTGGAGTTAAAGGCACCTTCGACTGTTAGAAAAGATTTTACCCCTGACAGTGTTCACAGTATTGATAACTCTTTCCTGTCTGGAAATTACAGTTTGGTTTCTTTTAGTTGTTATTTTATTTACGGTTACAATTGTAACTTTGGTTTGTGATATGCAAGGGGTAATTTTATCACATAAAAAAAGTTATTAAAGAAGTCTGGTTTGGAAAGCAGTTAATAGGTTGTTTACTGCTTATAGCTCTGCAGAAGTTTTATGTGTGCTTATTTCAACACAGGTGTAACTCAGCAACATCTCTCTGAAAAGGAGATACTTTTTTATTTAACATAACAAAGTCATTTTGAAATTTCTGACTTCCTCAGAGGTCTCTGTGATGCTATTACTTAGGTTTTTTAAGCATTTAAAGGCAAGGATTTTATTTCTAAGAGCTCAGAAGAACCACAGTAAGAATCTGCTGTTAATTGAGTTAATCACTTCTTAAAGACACCGGTAAAAATTATTTAGATGGTATAATTAATATATTTAATAAATTAATCAAAATATAATATTAAAAATTAAAAAATTAGTTAATTGTGCTTGACCGAACGACAGTGGCCCATGCTGATCTGGAGCAGTTCTGGTATCACGAGCAGAATTAGGTCTTTTGGAACTGAGTCTACACGTGCCCCTGAGCAGCAAAGGCCGAGATGGTGGATACTGAGCCAGATTTGTGCCTTTTGCTGTGCTCCTGGTGAAGGGGACGTGATCCCTCTGCTATAGCTGGTTTTAGTCGCTGGAGCAGTCTGTGATGGGTATCATTTGCCTTCTGAAAATTAAAGCAGACCTGAAGTTGCCGCCGTGGGTGTGATAGCACCTGCTGGCTGGGGAAGGTGCAGAAGTTCCCTCCTCCTATAGGTAGTAAAGCCAGGCAAGCAGGACACAGTCCTTCTGGGTTTACTGCGTATTGCTCTTTGCTAATTTTTGGACAAATGGATGCAAGTAAATATGTGAGGGTGATGGGTGAGTTCTGTAGTGAGAATGTAATTTTAATTTTTTAATAAATGCTTGAAGCTGCACAGAAGGTCTCGTCACTGACAAGTGAAAAATAACTGTGTCGCAAAACTGAAATGTGTGTTTCAAGGAGACGCTGCTGCACAAGTTTCATGCTCTCACTTCCTCTGAATACACTTTTTTGTAAAAATCAGTAGGCAGGTGGGATTGTGGCACTGGTGCTTCTTTATTTGTTAAACCTTTTCTGTGCAAGTAGTCCTAGAGTAAGAATGATTTCAATTTAGTCTTCTTGGTAGACGCTTGCACTCCAATATAAATTTTTAGAGCACAGTAAGAATTTATAACATAGTTTGCAATGTTGATGAAATGGAGAGGAAAAGATCTTCCCTGGTGGAATCCTGTGTCCTGCAAAACTGTAGGCCAAGTGTCTCCAAAAAATACAGGGGTTGTATTTCAGGGTACCAGCTTCTTGCTCGTTTTTTTTTGGATCGTAAATATTTTGTCATGTATATGTAAATATATCGTGGGAGGGAGTACAAAGGAGACATAAAGCACTATTCCCATGTCTTACATAATACAGAGGGGTGAGAAATGCTTTGCAGGTGTATTGCAGTCCTGTTGATCTGCTGCAAGGTCAGCTCGACGTTACTAATGTTCCCCTGCCAAAGTGGTGGCTGTAATTTCACACATAATTCTACATGCTTCATACATTCTTTGTGTAGAATTCTGTACTTTTAGTAAAGATCCATTTTCTCTCAGCAAGATAATTCTTTCACCAGTAAGATATGAACTGGTTGGATTTTTCCAATGGGACATACGGCAAAATGAAGCTGTTGTCTGTAAAGCTGCCTCTACAGTAGCTTTCCCATGGCACAGATAAACTGTTCGAGGAGGTAAGGGAAGAGACCTTTTCCAACTCTCAGGCAATACAACAGTACTGATAAGAGTTTCTGATTTAAATCAGAACTGAAAGAGGAATGGTTTAGTTCATGACAGTTGCATTTGTGTTACTGTAATCAAGGACAGGATTTGGGCTTGATACAGTTCTTGTGGTTGGTTGTTTTTAATTTTTTTAATAGAATGCTCTCTTTTTCTAGGTAATAATACTGGCCTGGGTACTGTCTACTTTTAATTTCAAGCGGTGGAAAAATAAGAAGCAAAATGAAACCCTTCCAGAGTGCTTGTCTTTTCAAGAACCTGCTTGTTAATTGCCACTGTCAAAGTCAGCTTCACAGCTTTCTTCTCCCTCCTGTTGGAAAGAAGACAGGTTATGTGGTGGGACTGCACAGCTGTGGATTTTGGAGGCCAAAATCTTTATTGGACACTGCAAGACTCACTCCTCTTATTAACAGCCGGCACAGGAAAAACCATCGGGATTCTCGAGCGCTGTGGAAGCATGAGGCTGTGCAGAAGTATCTGGAGACTCTAAGCAAGGAATATCAGCAAGTTAGTCGTCTGTTAAATGCCGACTCAGCAAATGACTTTGAGCAAAGAACGCTGAGGAGAAGATGTGCCGATCTATCCCCCATTGCAGCTGCATTTCGAGAAGTCAAAGAGGCTGAAAGAGAAGTTCAGGAGTTGGAAGCTATGTGCAGAGGTAAGGAGAACACATCTACCGACTTGTTTCAAAATGGGAGCTTTGCTTGCCGATAAACTTTGTTGCCCAGCCTTTGAGGAAAGCTTTTAAATAAGTGAAGCATCCAGCAACATCCTTCCGTTTTTCATCTCACCTCACTTTGATTTGAGGTTGGAATGCAGCCAGTTTAAAAGATTAGGGATCCTCTGGAATTTCAGGGCTATCCATCTGGCAGAAATAGTTTGGAAATGTTTGCTTTAGGGTTGTTTTTTGATCAAACTGAGAGCAGTGTGAAAAAATCTAGCAAGCCTAATAAATAGTTTTCATAGATACAGACTTCACTTATATTATTTAAAAAGAGATTTCTTCTAGCCAGTCATAGGCTGGAGTTGATGATTTCAGAGGTCTTTTCCAGCCTCAACAATTCTGTGATTCTGTGATTGATACTTACTGAGCAAATTACATGAACTTTCCATTAGGCTCTGAATTGTCAGCTTCCAATTCAAATGGCAAAATGTAACATTTTTCTTAAATGTTTGGGGAATCCTTCAAGGAGTAAAAATCGATGGTTGTCCAAGAAGCTGCTGCTTTTCAGTAGTACTCTGGAGGTTGGGATAAAAAAGAATTTAAAAAATTGTCAGTGTTTTTGATACTATTTCAGAATAAAAAAGCACACAGGGAGTAAAAGAATTGACAAAACAAGTAAAGGTGCAACATTTTGAGCAGCAGAGTAAATGAAGAGGCATGAAAGTTCATGGTGCTTTTCAAAGAGAAACAAGGGTTGTTGACAAAACAGTAAAAGCCATATTGATATAAAGCTGGTAAAATTTAACTTGTTTAGAAAGATAGAAAACATTTGTATTATTTCATTTTAGAAATAAATGGTAGTTTAGAAAATAGGGTGGTTTAGAAAATATGGTGGTTATTGAAAATGTTTTAATCCCCAACCCTCTCAGTTTCTCTTCACTAGGAAAAGAGGAAGAGGAATGAAGGTGTGGAAGGACGCAAAAAAATAAATGTTCTTGGAAGAAATTAGAACGTATTAGGAAAACACTGTAAAATTCATACATAAAAAGGCTATATTTGAATCAAGTAAACATAATGAAGGATTTTTCTAATTAATTCCATAGTTTTTGATGTGGATGAATGGAGTGAGTTCCAGTTGAAAGGAAGGAAGAGAAAAGAAAGCTGTAGCCAAGAAGTTAATTAAGTGGGCCAAATTATTCTATCTGTACTGTTTATCGTGTGGCCAAGTTAAAATACAGATGTTCCCTTCGTTTGACTGCTCTTTATTTTTCATTTAGCTCCCTAACTGACCTCTGTAGTACCTGAATTCCTCAAAATTACTGTAGGATTTCATATTCGCAACACTCGGTGAAGCTGAAAATAATATTTCCCAGTTTGCCATGGGTGATGTGAGTCACGGGGTAGATGACATGAATTCTTAAAGGTCAGGTTTGCAGGGAGGTAGGAATGGGACGCTGATCCTTTGAACCTTAAGCTTATTAGTCACCCCCAGACCATTCTTTCATCTCTGCTGACAGTGGTTAATTTGATGCTGTTTGACTAGTCAGTAATCATGCTTCTTGGACCAGGTCGAAGCCTTTGACTCGGTACCAGCTCTGGGTTGGAGTTGTGACGTACTGGTAGGCAAATTTATACAGTTCTTGCCTTATGTACAGGGGATGCCAAGTTCAGGTGTTGATCTTTTATTTAAGAGCCTCCTCAGCTGGTAGAAGGGGAAGAAAGATGAAAAGGAGAGAGGGCTTCCTGTTTTGGCAGTGACAGGTTTTCTGCTTGACTCCGACTGTTTTCCAAATTTCTACTTGGTGTATAATCTAACTTGAACTGATCTGCGCCGTTAACTATTGTAAACTGAAGCTCCCTGTCATGGTTCAAGCCCGACTAGGAAAAAACACACGTGGTCTCCAGCTCACTCCTCGCCCCACCCCCATTTTCACAGTGATGTGGAGGGAGAAAATTCAACTGAAAAGGCTCAAGGATTTGAGATTCAGGATAAGGAGGGCAATAATCTACCTTTTAAGATGACGGGTAAAGAACTAGAGAGACTTGGAGTAGAAAAGCATAGATTTAACTCACCACCACTATTTACTAAGTAGGATAGTAAGAAGGATACATCAGTACATACAGCCTGATCTTAAATACACTTCACCTCCCCTCCCGCCTCCATCTTCCCAGCTGCCTTCTCCCCCCTATCAGTGCAAGGGGGCAGAGGTTGGGGCGTGCAGTCCATCTGGCCGTTACTTATGGTCCATGGCAGCTCCTCCTGGAGAAAGAGCGCTCCTCACAGTCTCTCCTTCATGCCGCGTGGCGTCCACCTCACAGGAGGCAACCCTCTTCCTCCTTGTGAGTCCCTCAGGGCCACAGATCACTTTGGGCACGTCCCCTGCTGATACTCAGTCTCTCTCACATGGGGCTCTGCATGTACCGATGCATCCTGGATGTTCTTGCCACCATCAGTCCCCCCAGCTGGCAGGCAATCACCTCCTTCCCATCTCAGCCACCACGGGGCTTCAGGGAAGGGTCCTGCTCCGGCAGCCTTCTCCTTCTCCTCTGGGACTCTTCTCCCCCTCTGTCTTCTCACGGCAACTTTCCTTTGTTCTCCTCTCACCTTCCCCTCCTCCAACAGAAAAAACCTCCCCAACATTTAAGACAAGACATCTCAAAACAAGACGAAACCAAAAAAGAGATAGCATAATGGAGTCACCTCTTAAATACCTTGATGGCAGAGGCGCTGATTGGCCTGGCCCTGGCCAGAGGTAGGTCTGACTCTTACCTGGGAGTGGGGGAGGCTCTTGAAGTTTCTCACGAGTCTACCCCACCAGACTCAGCCCCATGACACTCCCACAGCAGAAAAGGTTTGGAGCTTCTGCTGGCTTTACCTGAGAATGTTTCCTAGTTTGATAGTAAGCTCTAACATGTGGGAAAGAACAGTCTTACCACAGAATAGTAGAATAATTTAGTTTGAAGAGGACCTCTGAAGGTCATTTATTTGGTCTGATGTTCTGCTGAAGGCAGGACCTGTTGGAAAAGTTGCCCAGGGCCTTGTCCAGTTGAGTTTGGAATATATGCAAGGGTTGAGATCCTACAGCCTCTCTGAGCCCCCGTTCCCATGTCTGACCATCCTTATGGTGAAAATAGCTTTTCTAATGCCTGATCAGAATTTCCGATATTCTGTCTTATGTCTCCTTTTATCGTGATATACTGAATCTGTCTCCATCTTTTTGATGTCTTTCTGTTAGGTAGTTGTACACAACAATAAAACCTCTCCTCCCCCTGCTTTTCCTAAGGCCAAACAACCACAGTTTTCTCAGCCTCTTCTCACACGTCGTTTGCTCCAACCCTTGATCGCCTTGGTGGTTCTCAGCTGGACTCACTCCAGTGATTCCATGCCTTTCTTGCACTGGGGAGCTCAAAACCAGACATGGTACTCCAGGCTGTGGTCTCACGTGCTGAAGAGAGGGGAAGGGAATCTCCTTAAGCAAAGAGTCCAAGCGAGGTCTCCCACATCCCGATGATTTGCATCCATAACTGCAACATCTCAGTGATCTCTTGAGTAAGAGGAGAGAGAAGGTTATAAATCTTGTTCTAATCATCGTGCTGTTATTTGTAATGCTCACCTTAATGAGTTGCTTACAAATTGTTGAATCACAGAATCAGAATTATTGAGGCTGGGAAAGACCTCTGGGATCATCAAGTCCAGCCTATTCATCAAGTCCAGCCTATTCATCAAGTCCAGCCTATAATACGTGGAGGCTTCTGGGCAAGCCTAGAAAGAAAAAACTTTGTTGCATGAAAAACTGTGATAGGGAAAACTGAGGGACTTCTTGTCTTGGACCTGTATTTTTGACTTATTTTGTCAAATCCGTTTGTGGATTTGCCCCTGAACTGTCAATCTCGGTGACAACCGTCAGTATAACTGAGAGTGAGTAACTGTCAGGTGGGACTGACATCTGTTTGATGCAGACTTGGAGCTGTAAGGTAGAAATTAAGAGGTAAGACATCCACTGCTCCGTCCAGCACACCTGAAAAATGTGATTGTTTAGTTAGTAATATGTGCCCTGTCTCGGGCTGGTCTTACTTGTTTTTTCACGCTGGCAAAATGCAACTGCAGGCCTCTGTACGCTGCAATGCATGTCTCTGGATGGCTGTGTTACAGTGTGCTTTGAGCTAGGTAAGAGTGGCTGACATCTATTCCTGTTGTTGGAATTTAGAGCTAGACAGCAGAGATGAGAAACAACTTCTAGAGCTTGCCTTAGAAGAGAAGGAAACCCTGGATAAAAAAACCAACATGCTGTGCAGAAAGGTGAGCCTGAGGTAAAATGATACAGCTTTGTAAATAAAAATGTCAGAAAAACCTTCCTTTGTGATCTTACCAATGGACTCTGACACTTGTTTAATGAAACAGAAGTCCAGCTTCTGTATTCTCCTGAAAAGAACATTAATTATTAGTAAGCTTCTTACTGACAATCATGTCTTAGAAGCTTATTATTTTAGTCATTTTTTGCTTGCTTGGTTGTCTCTCTGCTGATGCTGAAGGGGATTAAAAAAATGGTGAGTCTGTGCTATTGAGACCTGACATGACATCCTATTAACTGTTTGTGGCAGTGGAGCATGCATTCCTGAGAGATCTCAGATGGGAGCTTGCAGTCTTTCATTTTCTCTTCAGCCAACAGCGCCCTGTGAGGGGGGAAATTAATTATAACCAGAGAAGCTAAAATGGTTCAGTGGAGAGCTCCATGTTCAGGCTCATTTCAACATTCAGACTGAAATAATGTGCAATGGGACTTGGTGAAAAATAAGGTTAATGTAAAGATTGGCGGAGTTATAGCTAATAACTTTTTGTTCCTAGGTAGCTGGGACTGAAGTCACACCTGGCTTTGCACCAGCATATCCCATTCCCACACCGACTGCACTGAGTTGCAGTGGCCATTGGACAGTTTTCAGTCCCACTTACTAGTTTGCCCCAAGAAATCAGCGGTTGTGTGCGCTCAAGCTGTGGCAATTGTGAAGGTTGGCTGTAAATTTGATTAAGAGGAGATACAGTGTCATGAAGGAGATAATGATATCCTTCTTTTTTTTCCTTTCAGCTTTTCCAGCTTCTAGTGCCAAAGGAAAAATATGATAGAAGTCCTGTCATATTAGAAGTGACAGCTGGCAGAACAACTGGAGGTCAGCAAAGTCCCCACAGTAAAGATTACTTCAAACCTCCGTCCAACTTTATTAAACCTCTTATGGGTTACTCTTAATCCCTTTTTATACTTTAGTGGTATAAAGTAATGCTTTCTGAGGAAGAGTATTAATCTGTCTAATGACTGTGGTTAGAGCTGCAGCTAAATCTAAAAACTGGTAGCTGCTGTTTTCCGACCGGCTATTTATGTTGTCGTGCCTTTGTATTTTTAGGAGACATCTGCCAACAGTTCACTAAAGAAATGTTTGAGATGTACCGGAACTATGCAGACTATAAGCGCTGGACCTTTGACGTCATGAACTATGTGCCAGCTGAGATAGGTACCGTAGTTCTTCAGACGTCCCACCAAGAACGTGAAATGAAAAGCAACGTTTCTGTGCTGTTTTCGTCACGCGTTGTTTGTCTCTCTAGGTGGGTTGCATCATGCTGCTGCTCATATTTCGGGAGATGATGTCTACAGGCATCTGAAATATGAAGGAGGGACGCATCGAGTCCAGCGAATCCCTGAGACGGGATTGTCCTCGAGAATGCAGCGGATTCACACAGGGACGATGTCAGTTATTGTCCTCCCTCAGCCAGAGGAGGTAAACTGGCTGTTAGTTGGGGGAGTAAGGCAGTGCATTCCCGCTCACCCATTTTGGCACTGGAGCACGTGTTATTTAAAACCACATTACCATTTCAGGATTTTACTGGTGCCCGAGTGCTTTGTGCAAGTCCCAGCAAGTGAACCACAAATTCTTTGACTCTGGAAGGCGATAGTTCTCACCTCTGTACCTTACACATTTAAATGGGTCATCCAAAGGAGCTTTGCAGAGATTTGCTTTTGCCTGAAAGGGCGTGTAAGTCAGTGATCGCTTCAATGAGTATTCCAGCCCCAACACTCGCACAGCTGGCTGCTCTGAGTAAGCCATTTTAAAATTATGCGGTGTATTAAAGCAGGGACTGCGTCCAAGAAAATATTCAGTGTTGCATAATAATGTGATTCTGCAGGTCCTTTTGATTTTTCTGGTTTCATTTAAATTGTTGGCGTCCTTCTCTGTTAAATCAAGGACAGCCTGCTTTGAATTCCAATGAGTGAGTGTGTTGGCTAGTCTTCCTGAGAGCTCACTGATAACGACGGTTCTCACTTAAACCAGCAATTTACACACATAATAAACAAAACCAGATCGTTGGCATTCAAATGTTTTCTTTTGTTCTAGGTCGATGTTAAAGTGGATCCCAAAGATTTGCGTGTAGATACATTCAGGGCAAAAGGAGCAGGAGGGCAACACGTGAACAAAACTGATAGCGCTGTGAGGATTGTGCACCTTCCCACGGGTGAGTCTGGCTGTGTTTCCTACCTCTGATCACCCTACGCCTGAAGTGAAAACTTGTGACCTTTCAAGTTGTCTCTTAGAGTGAATTTACAGGGTTGGGCATTACACGAGAAAAAAGAATCATAGAATCACAGAATGTCAGGGGTTGGAAGGGACCTTGAAAGATCATCTAGTCCAGCCCCCCTGCCAGAGCAGGATCCCCTAGGGCAGCCACAGAGGAACGTGTTCAGTCAGGTTTTGAAGGTCTCCAGAGAAGGAGACTCCACATCCTCTCTGGGCAGCCTGTGCCAGTGCTCTGTCACCCTCCCAGTGAAGAAGTTTCTCCTCATGTTGAGGTTGAACTTCCTATGTTCTAACTTAAATCCATTATTTATTGTTCTATTACTGGGCACCACTGAAAAGAGATTGTCTTCATCCCTTTGACACCCACCCCTCAGATATTTGTGTACGTTAATAAGGTCCCCTCTCAGCCATCTCCTTTCAAGACTAAACAGCCCCAATTCTCTCAGTCTCTCTTCATAGGAGAGATGTTCAAGTCCCTTAATCACCCTCGTAGCTCTCCACTGGACTCTCTCCAGTAGGTCTCTGTCTCTCCTGAATTGGGGAGCCCAAAACTGGACACAGTATTCCAGGTGTGGTCTCACGAGGGCAGAATAAAGAGGGAGGAGAACCTTCCTAGACCTGCTGGACACACTTTTCTTAATGCACACAAGAAGGAGCCTGTTCTGGTGCTGACCCAATTTCCAGCAAGGAAGCGCATAAGAAAGGGGATACGTTTAGGTGGCCTAATGGTTTGCAAGTTGCTACTATGCTGGTTTTGTCTTCAGAGGGAGTCTTTAATGAGTGCTCTGCCTTTGAAGGGTGAAAAACAAATGGAAGGTGACAGGGACGGGATGGAGGATGTGGATAATT